AGGTCAAGAAGACCTACGACCCAGACTTTCTTTTGTATTCGCACACTTCGGTGGGGGCTGACGAGATTACCGTTGCCTCTGATGGGCGCATCTGCAAGCACTAAGAGCTTGCTCAGGATTTCATGCTGGTGTCAACCGCGCGATGGGTTCGTTAGACTACTATGCCTGCGATCCTCAATCTCCTCAACTAGCTTTCTCCACGGATTGTTTTCAATTTTCTGATTGTATTAATAGCCGTTTGAATGAATAGAAAACCCAGTATGATACGAGACAGAAAACTTCATAGTTGGTAAAATAACGTTTTTCTGTAGAATGAGGAGATGTTTTGCTTATGCTTCAGATGCAATCCTATGTGTCTAGGAAGATTTCAGGTCAATGTTCCAAACACTCGGAACTGTCAAAAAACATCATGAATTGCTTGATGCGACTGAAAGCAGAGTGCACCATAACACAAAATATCACGATAGCGTTGCATTGCACAAATCAAGAATTCGGCTGCTGGAAGGTCTCATGCCAAGTTGCGCAGATTTCTTTCTTTTCTATTCTTCTTTAATCACCCATCATTGGGACCGGAAATCACAAGCTGTGCTTGCTTACGACTGATGATGGACCAATGATGCTAGTATTACCAAGGCAGCACAGCACCATCCCACTGGATCAACTTCCCACCGTGGCTGTCCCTTGTAGCTGAGTCAACCACCTTCACGATTCCCTCAGTCACATCTTCAACTTTCAATGGCGCTTGTTCATGGCCAAAGTAATGGGCACCATTGTTTCCAAGGTCCGTTTGGACCCAGCTGAGATAGCTGTCAGTATGATCTCCGCAAATGCACGGGTTGGCCTGTCTTACCCCGGGTCGATGGGAAACGCAACTAGCTCCGGCTCTTCTCGGTGGATAGCTTTGGTCAACCAGTGTGCAACGACTTTGGATGTGCCATAGGCCGCATTTGGCATGTCAAGTTGGTTCTGCAGGTTTATTAGGGGACGACCTGCCCGCGAGATTGGAGCACGATCTTACTGTCAACCAGGCCGAACACGAGCCAATCGTAATCCACTTGCCGTTCTTGGATTTCTTCAGCAGAGGCAGCGTGGCTTGGTACGTAAAGATAAGACCGTGGACGTTCGGCACGTAGTGGCCTTCGATCTCTTCGACCTTGATCTCGGATACCTTGGGCCATGCAAAACAGACACCGGCATTGGAAATGACGATGTCAAGATGATCAATGCCCTGCGCTTCCAGTTGTTTCACGGCCTCTAGACCGTCAGTCTTGACTGTGATGTCAAATTTAACGAGTACCAGAGAAGAACCGTTGGCTTTGGGCAGACTAGTCAGGGCCTTAGATGACTCGTGATTCGGATCGCGAACCGTGCCGATTACGGTGTGACTAGGTCTAGCCAGGTATTTCTCGAGGAGGCCTTTGCCAATGCCGCGATTGGCTCCAGTGATAAGCACAATAGTTGGTGTCATTGTTACTTTTCGTTAGGGGCAGACTCAACACAACCGAATACACAAAGAGATACCGAGGTAAGCGAAATCCGGTGCAGGTCTCTGGCTTATGGAATATCCATAGCCTTCAAATATCAACTCAAATTATTCTCTCAATGCGTCATCGTCGCGAAACGCAGCAAATGTTGACATTTCTGATGCACTGTAATTCGCAAAGGGCTGACAAATTCAGACTGAGTAGACCTCAGGAGCATTGCTTACCGGGCAGCTTGGCTAAGCATGATCACAGCCGGCATTGATGATGCTCGGAACGTAACGGGTTTTGGCGCCGAAACTTGCTTGAATGTCTGTCTCATCTCTCGTCAGCGAATGACAATGCCGTCACTCTATTCGACTTGCTCTGAAGTCTCCTTTCATGCCGGCTGCGAGGTATCAATTGCAACAACATGATCTCCATGGACGGTTCATCGCAACATGAAAATGACAGGGTAGCCGGAACATTAAGTCCCACCTTTATTGAATGGAGGCATTGTTCCTGCATGGTCAGCATCTCGCAGATTGCTACAGACAAGCTTCCTAGTGAGGGTCAAATGCTGACCATGCATACTGCAAGGGTGGACGGAAGTGGGATTTCTTGCCTCACGTGGGGGTCCGATTGCGTGCGAATGGGTCCCCATGAATCTCAATTTGCTCCAGAACGACAACGATAATGGGGACGACGGCGATAACGAGGACAAGGACAACGACGACAAGGGGCACAATTTTCCACGAACTCGGGTTTGTGAATAAAATAGGAAATTAGGTTCCGTCAACTTGTCAGCATAAACTCAAAGCCGTAGGCTCGAATTTCAGGGGAAGGGGCACTGAAACTATCTCAAAGACGCAGTGGGCGCAGGCAAAAAATCAATTGAAAATCAATTGGATTGCGTAAGGCTTGTATTTTTAAACTCATAGGTGTCTAAAGTGAGCACTTTACACATTTACTACTGTATGGACGTCTATGGACAGGTTGTTTAATGTGATATCTAATCAAGGGCATGGTCAATGAAATCTACCATCGCTTGCCAAATCTCTTTGGATCCGCTACCGCTCAGCACAGTGAGATGCCCCTTTCCATTGGCAAGATATAGCTGCTTCGGTCCTACAAATCGTCCGAACGCTTCTTTCTGCTCCTCGGCTGGAGATATGTCGTCCAGTTCTGGAACGATCATTTGAACCGGCGTCCGAACGAGATCAAGAAGCTCCTTGGGTCTGAACAGGGCCAGTTTGTGGTACGTCTGCAACGTAATTCGATCTCGAAAGTTGGGTGCTCCACGGTCGATAACGGCATTCATAAAATTGTATGCCTCCATGCCCCCCGGTCCCCCGGATCCTGCCATGCCGATGGGGTTCTCACCTCTGCTATTGAAAGGAGGCAACGAAAACGGCTCGTTACCACGAAGCTGGGACTGCCGGTCTCTGATGAGCTGTGCGAATGCTTTCTCCCGCTTCTCTGGTTGGATGAAACTAAAGATGGGGCACACCATAACCAAAGCTTTCACCCGCCGATCAACAGCGGCTGCACAAGCGCTCACCGTAGCACCGAAAGACATGCCCCAAAGAACGATGCGATGGGCATCCACACTTGGTAATGATGCAACGTGTGTTACAATGTCTGGGATTGGCAGACGTTAGCAGGAGCACGTGCGTTATCCCACGGCCATGGCCTAGGATTTCGTGTGGCAGACTTACCGGAAAGGTCTTCCGCCTGTTGCAGCGGGCTAATATGGTTTCTTGGTAACCCGTCGCTATCGCCAATACTTCGTGGATCGTATATGAGGGTGTTGAATCCCAAGGACTGGAACCACTCAGCCAGTTCCGGCAACAGCATCTCTTTCACACAATTAAACTGATAGTACGTTAGCTTAGTTTTCTAACTATATCGGTCGAAGGAACGCACCCCATGTGTCATAATGATAGCCGGAGCTGGACCGTCGCCGACGGCGTAGAACAAACCGCGGAGAACGACGCCATCGATCGTTTTATATTCCACCTTCTCCCTTAGCGCTGACATTCCAGAATTTGTATAGAGAATGAAATACGTCTTTAGAAGCGTGAGGTCAGGATTTTCGTAATTCCGGAATAATTTTTGCAGAGTAGATAATATACCTGGGATAGCTTAATGCAGAGAAGATTGCCCGCAAAGCTGATCGCAGTCTGAAGAAGCTTTCGCACGAGGTCTCAGGCTAGGCAAATAAATATATTTCCTTTACTGATGGATGGACTTGAATAAACTAAATTTGAAGTTTTCAAATGCGCCATGGATGATTTATGAGAGCCAAATGGCAAACAGCTGTACCACAAAAGTGCGAGGCGACCGGGCGATAACGGCACAAGCTGAACATCCGGGGTCGTCCTTAGCAGACCATCACCTCCACCCACGTTCCAACCTCGCGTGTCTTGTGGTACAAGCCACGTGTCTAAGTGTTCGGGATCAAAATACCTGTTGAAACAGTTCTAGCCGACGTATTGACACCACTGCAGAATATTCTTACGACATCGATGTGGCCCACAACTTTGCGGGCGGGAGATGCCCCCGGACGGCCCGAGGCTCCTTCCTTGGCTCCGTTTGTGTGCATGAGGCCCTTGTTAACCACCTCAACTGCTGATATTGGATGTAAGTCAATCAGGCTACCGAAGTCCCCAACGTACTTCTCGTGGGTTGACTCCCGGTGAACCGCGATCTGGCCTGTTTCGACCGTTCGGTTTGCATCGTCAACCCGAGAAAGTTCGTTAATACAGCATGCGACCTGGCTGACTTTGCAGCAAACGATTCATTCCATGTTGCAACATCATCGAGGCTGGTCAGCCTGAGTGGATGTAGTAAGGATGATTCCCACTTCAGGGCGTCGGACGTGTGTCGTATCCTGCTTATCTCTATACCATAGCCATAAAGCGCCAAACACCGCACACAACGCCATTGGGGGCTGTTACTGCGACATCTTCAACGAGACAGCATGGCTGAACTGGGAAGACTACGATTCATGGTCCATGTTTCAAACGAAGGTTATCTGCAGGGGTCGGCGATTCGCGATGTACGGGGTAGCCACCTTGCAATCAGAACAGCACTCGACGTGGTATTTTCAACCCCCGTCGTTGAAGGATTCTGCACGTCTGGCCAAGTTTCGCGATCTTCTGGTTTGATAACGCCAGAGACGAAACCTTATTCGAGCCTTCGCCACGATGGCGACACCAGTCACAGATCAGAAGTTGTGACTCGTCGGGCGGATTGTACAACAGGTCTGGCCAGGCAATTTGCAAGGATTACCGAAGTGGTTATCGACAAGCGAGTGAGCATCAAAGATGACCACGGAGATAGGAAATCGCGAAGACGTGCATACTTCTCTCAGTATCGATATGAATGAAAGTTCCCAGCTTTTCTCGCAAATCAGACTCATTGTCAGACGTTGTTCTTTGAAAGCAGAGAAGTCGCAACACCCATCTTTTCGTGTTGCCCCAAGTTTTGTCTTCAAGATTTATTCTTGTTCATTTGTTTAAACTACTGTGAGGCAACATGTCAACCTCACAGCACTCGAAGGAGCCTATCGCCATCATTGGCATTGCCTGCCGACTTCCTGGCGGAAACACTAACCTTCATAAACTCTGGGAGTTCCTCAAGAGGGGAGGTATTGCCTCGAACAAAGTTCCTGAATCCAGGTTCAACATTGACGGCCACTGGGATGGCTCCCAAAAGCCTCGCACAATGCGGCCGTTGGGAGGCATGTTTCTTGAGGAGATTGATCCTGCTGACTTTGACGCATCCTTCTTTGAGATATCAAAGACGGAAGCCATTTCTATGGACCCCAACCAACGGCAAATGCTCGAAGTAGTTTATGAGGGACTTGAGAACGCTGGAATCCCCCTGGAATCTCTGGATGGTGCTCCAGTTGGTTGTTTTGTTGGATCCTACGCATCAGGTATGTTTTAAGGCTTCAGAAAGGGCAATCTTTTAACACAATATAGACTATGGTGATATGCAGGCCAGAGACCCTGAAGATCGGCCCGCTGCCATTACCGTTGGTGTTGGAAGATCGATCATGGCCAACCGCTTAAGTCACTTTTTGAACATCAAGGGGCCCAGGCAAGAATCATGAATTATCTCCTTTGGTCAAGCTCAGTTGCTAATCACTAAGCATCCAGCATGACCATTGATACTGCTTGCTCAGGCAGTCTGGTGGGAATCGATGTGGCCAGCCGCTATCTTCAGACTCGTGAGATCGACGCAGCTATCATTGCTACAAGCAATCTCTACCTCAACCCTGAGCATGTTATGGACATTGGTGGCGTAGGCCATGCTCACTCACCCACTGGACTCTGTCATACTTTCGATATCTCTGCGGACGGATACGTGAAGGCCGAAGCTGTTAGCTCCGTGATTATCAAGAGACTGTCCGACGCTATCCGCGACCGCGACCCCATCAGGGCTGTCATTCTTGGGTCGTCCACTAACAGTGATGGACGTACACCGGGTATCGCCAGCCCCAGCGCCGAGGCTCAAGCAGCTGCCATTAGAGCTGCCTATGCCAGTGCTGGCATTACCAATTTTAACGATACGACATATCTTGAGTGCCATGGAACAGGGACACAAGTTAGTCGATACCCGCTGATAACGCTCATTCCGTGATAGCTGACGATTATTTCAGGCTGGTGATCCTACGGAGGTCAAGGGCGCTGCGTCGGTGTTCGCTACTAGTCGATCTGCGGATAAGCCACTTATCATCGGCTCGGTCAGTATCCTAACTTTTTCAGGGTAGCTTAGTTTTCATCTTGGCCCTCGATTGCTGATTATGATTTTATGTTAGATCAAGAGCAATGTGGGGCACGCTGAGCCATCAGCTGGAATCTCAGGTCTCATCAAAGCTGTGTTGGCCACTGAAAGCGGGTTAATCCCCGGCAATCCTACTTTCGAGAACCCTAGTCCTAAGAGTAGGTTGACTTCGTCGCGATGATTTCTTTCGATTTCAATACTAATAGCCCTTGAACAGTCGATTTTGTTGGCTTGAAGGTGAAGGCGTCCCGCACTGCCCTTCCCTGGCCCACTGGTGCTCCCCGAAGAGCCAGCATCAACTCATTCGGCTACGGCGGCTCTAATGCGCACTTGATTCTCGAGCAACGGAACATTCCTGGTGGTCCGCGCCATGTTTCTTCGTATCTTCCGGACGATGCGGAGTTCTCTCTTGAAGATGATGAGACAGAGAACCCGTACACTCTTGTACTCTCCGCCAACGACAGCGCCACCTTGCGCGCGAACATCAAAGCCCTGGCGAGCCATCTCATCAATCCCCGCGTCAAAGTCGATATTCGCGACTTGGCCTACACGCTCTCAGAGAGGAGATCGCGTCTATGGCATCGAGCTTTCCTGACCACGCGCAGCCTGACTGACTTGGACGAAAACTCCTTTGTCGTCGGGAAGAAAAGCTCCGAGGCACCAAGAGTCGCCTTTGTTTTCACTGGCCAAGGCGCTCAATGGCCTCAGATGGGCAAGGATCTTCTGCGTTATTTCCCATGGACTCGCCAAATTCTGGAAGAACTTGACAGTGTCTTGCAAGGTCTCCCAACTCCTCCGAAGTGGTCTCTCGTCAACGAGTTAACTGAGCCACGCACTGCGGAACACCTTCGCCAACCAGAGTTCTCTCAGCCACTCGTGACTGCGCTTCAGCTTTGCCTGATTTCGGTACTCGAGCGTTGGGGTATCAAGCCGCAGAGCGTCATCGGCCATTCATCTGGAGAGATCGCCGCTGCTTACGCTGCGGGCTTCCTTGATCGGTCGGGTGCTATCATTGCTTCCTTCTATAGAGGCCGAGCCGCACTGAACCGTCAAGAGCACGCTGAGAAGGACGTTGGCATGCTTGCTGTTGGTGTTGGCGCTGATGCTCTTGCGCCTTACTTGGAGAAGTACGCCGGTGAAGCTTGGATCGCCTGCTTTAACAGCCCCAGCAGTCTCACTGTGTCTGGCAAGCGAGTCCCTTTGGAGGCTTTAGCCACTGACCTCAAGTCAGACGGTCACTTCGCACGACTTCTCCAAGTCGACTTAGCGTATCATTCACCTTTGATGGGAGTCATTGGTGAAGAGTACGAAACGCTGTTGTCAACAGGCTTCGCCTCATTTGGAGGATCCCCAGATGTATCAATGTTTTCATCTGTCACTGGATCCAGAAAGACCACCACTACCGATGGTGCCTACTGGAAATCCAATATGATTTCGCCCGTCAGATTCAACGAGGCAGCTCAGGAAATGCTCTCAGGAGATAATGGTCCCAACTTCCTCATTGAGATTGGCCCATCTGGTGCTTTGGGTGGTCCAGTCTCTCAGATCTTGAAGTCCCTTTCGAGCGGATCTGATATAACGTCTGTTGCTGCATGGTCTCGCGGCGCCAATGCTGGAAAGACAATTTTCGATCTTACGGGGCGCCTGTTCATTGCTGGTGGTGGCTTCAACCTTGCTAAGGTCAACCGGTACTCTTCGGGCGACGCTGAGACAGTGCCTCTCCCAAACACCATTATCGACCTTCCTAACTACGTCTGGAACCACTCAGTCAAGTACTGGCATGAGAATGCGGCGAGCAAGGACTGGCGATTCAAGCAGTATGTGAATCACGATCTTCTGGGAAGCAAGGTCCTTGGAACGACATGGCGTTCGCCAACTTGGCGCAAGCTTTTGGATATTGCGGACGTTCCGTGGTTGAAGGACCACAAGATGGGAGATGATATCCTCTTGCCGGGTTCCGGCTTCATCACGATGGCTGTCGAAGCACTCTACCAGAAGACAAGAGCCACCGCACCGGACGATGTCGTCGTTGCGTCTTCGAACGACTTGTCTTATAGACTCAGGAACGTTCGGTTTGACAAGGCGCTGGTGCTCGAAGAAGGAGTAGAGGCGATCATCACACTATCCCTCACTCAGCAACCCGGAAGCAAGAATTGGCATGAGTTCCACATTGCCACCGACACGGCCGGTGTTTTCATCGAGCATTGCTCCGGATTGATTCGTGTACAAGAACCCATTCTCGAGCGACTGGCAGAGGTCGACCGTCGCCCCCTGGAGTTTCCCACTACCGCCAAAATCTGGTACAAGGCCCAGACCGCCATCGGATACGGATTCGGTCCCGACTTTCAGAAGGTCAAGAAAGTCGAGTCAATCAGTGGTCAGCGACGCAGCCGCAGTTTGGTTTCCCTCGAGGAGCCCAAGTCAAAGTGGTCTCCCCAGTCATACTACCCAATCCATCCAGCATCTCTTGACGGGTGCTTCCAAACCGTTACGCCCTCTCTCTGGGCCGGAGAGCACAGTTCTTTGAACGCGGTGTTGGTTCCTTCGGTCATAGATGATTTGGTAATCAACCAAGTCAATCAGGGGCTATCAGAAGGCTTGTCCATCGCGAGTTCAGAGTACTCCGGTCGCGGACGGCTGGAAGAGGCCAAGAGCTACTTTGCCAACTGCTCGATTCACGATCCTACAACCGGCGCACTTCTTATGCAGATGCGTGGTCTGCGTTTTGCTAAACTTGATGTGGTTCCCAAGCCAGACCCTCATATTTTCGACCGAGTCAGCTGGAAGCCTGACATCACATTCTTCTCCCAGGAAAATTTGGTTCAGCACGGGTCCGAGTTTACTGCTGGTTCTATCATCGACTTGATTGCACACAAGCAGCCGAGATTGCGAGTTCTAGAAGCGGACTTTGACGCCAATGATGAGTCTTCTGCGTGGTTTCAAGGCAACGATTGGTCATCAAGAGCGGCTTACACCCAATACGACTATATTTCAACGAATGCCAAGCTTCTGGTTGGGATTCAGACCCAAAATGAAGGGAACAGAAACGCTTCTTTCAGCCTCATTAACCTCGAGAGCGGAGATGTCGGCTTGCCAAGTGACGCTATCTACGATCTCGTCATTGTCAAGGTCGCGGACAAGTCGTCTTCAAGCTTGGACCAGTTCTTACAACGGCTCAAGAAGCATCTCTCGAGTTCTTCGCACACTCTCATTCTTCAGCCCAGACAACCAGAGCTAGATGCTGCTGCCCCTGTGCCATCCCTGAGATCTACCTCGCCAGAGTCCGATGTGCCAGCAGGTCCCAGCACGCCCTCGGAGTCAGCCGGATCTGATCTGCCGCCAGAGACCCCTTTCACAGATGTGTCCATCACGCCCGAAGAGGAAGTCGAACTCAAAGAGAAAGGTCGATCGTCAAATGTTTTAGTAGACACAGCTCTCGAGAGCCTTCTCGAAGCGAACACACTCCCAGAACTCCATGGTTTCAGCGTCAAGCTGCAAGGGTCTACTTGGACACTATACAGTTCCGCGGCGACCAGCGAGGAGCAACATCGGCCTCGCAACTTGGATATCGTCCGGCTTTCTCAAGGTGCTTCAGATGTCCCGCCGTCACTGAAAGAACAGCTGGAGGCATCTGGATGGAGTATCACGCAGCGATCAGACCTTTCTGCAGTTCACAGTCTCTCGGCTGACTCTACCGTTCTCATTCTTGATGAGCTACATAATCCTGTTCTCACCAATATTGATGGAGAACAATGGTCTGCGTTGAAGACTCTCGTCAGTTCGGGACGCCCTCTTCTTTGGGTTACAAAAGGGGCGCAGCTCAAAGTCACTGACCCAGACTTTGCCCTCGCTCATGGCCTTTTCCGCGTCGTCCGGAGGGAGGATGCCAGTGTCAAGATCACCGTTTTGGATGTCGAGTCAAACGTCGGGCCCAACACCGCATGGGCCATCAAGTCCGTCCTAGAGACTACACGCCACAGTGGCACGCCGAGTATCAAAGGAATTGTCGAGACGGAATTCACTGAGCGAAATGGCGTTCTATATGTGCACAGAGTTGTACCAGATCTGAGAGTCAATGAGTTCAAGCGGGCTGAGCAGGAGGGATCCGAACCTGTCTTGGGAAAACTGCACGAAACCAAGGCCGCTGTTCAGCTCCGATCGGAGCGTGTCGGAACCTTCCAGAGCCTCACTTGGAACGAGAAAGATGTCGCTGAGGTTCCTGTTGAAGAGGGCGCAATCGAGGTCGAAGTCTTTGCTGTCGGTGTTAACTTCAAGGACGTCGCTGTTGCCATGGGAATTGTGCCAGAGAATGAGTACACCATTGGA